TGGCTACAAATCCGAAGTTAGACAAAGATGAAGGAGGAATAGCATTCTGTGAGAAGAAATACAGAGGAATGATCGGATCTCTCCTTTATTTAACAGCTAGTAGACCTGATATTCAGTTCAGTGTAGGACTATGTGCAAGATTTCAATCAAAGCCTAAGGAAAGCCATTTTAAAGCGGTTAAACGAATATTCAGGTATCTTAAGGGAACAATCAATGTAGGATTATGGTATCCAATCTCTGACTCATTTGAATTGGTAGGTTACAGTGATTCAGACTTTGGAGGAAGTTTAGTAGATAGAAAAAGTACCTCAGGAACTATATAGTTCCTTGGACCTGCTCTGGTTTCTTGGTTTAGTAAAAAACAGGGAGCAGTTTCTCTTTCAACCACTGAAGCTGAGTACATGGCAGCTGGAAGATGTGCTCAAATCATGTGGATGAACGCTCAACTATCTGATTATGGTTTCAAACTAAATGATATTCAAGTCTGTTGTGATAACACTAGTGCAATTAGTATGACAAAGAACCCTGTTCAACACTCTAGAACAAAACAAATTGAGATAAAATATCATTTTATCAGAGATTTAGTACAAGCAGGACATATTTGTTTACAGTTTGTTTCTACTGAATCTCAATTAGCTGACTTATTTACAAAACCTCTCCCTAGTGAACGCTTTCTGCAATTATGCACAGAGCTAGGGCTCAAATCTTTCAGTCAGATTAAGAATCTTTCAAACTAATAAACTTATTGGGCCTTTTTGCTCTGGGTATTTAGCGTGTCTTGGTTAATCAAATAAACGCTTTTTCGGCTCATGCTTGCATTGTTCCAAGACAACGTCGTGCATGCTTCTTTCTAATCATTACGCTTTCTCCTGCGGGAGACTCTTCCGCTTCTCCCTTCCCTCTCATCCCTCTGCCTATATAAGTCCTCCTCCTTCTTTTGCTCCTCTCACACTATTCCAACAAGACCAACAACTAAACTCAAACTCAGTAAAATTTTCAGCCTTCCCAAATATGAGTGACTCGTCCTTTCCGCTTCGATGGGCTGGTTCACACCTTCTCTGGATATATGTTCCATGAACCTAGGGTGCTGAACCATCACCGTTATCTCCAACACTTTGACAAGAGAAGGATCCACCACATCACTCAGCTTGATCCTTATGAATTTAATGTCTACAAGTACGACATTATCTCCCTCATTGAAGGACTTGGGTGGGATTTCCTTCTTCGTCAGCCCCTTCATCCTGCCTGTCCAGGAGCGGTGAAGTACTTCTTCTCAAACCTCCAATGCCAAGGGGTGAGCTCGAGGAGCTTCACCACACTAGTTTATGGCCATCTGCTGACTATACCAGTCAATGCCCTGAATGGCATTCTTGGTTTTCCCTATCAGGGACTTGGGATAGCTCACCCTTCTGAATTTTGGAAGCACAAGTTCAAAATTGAGGTGGAATACAACAATTTCTCAACAGAGCCAACTGGTGGCTCTGATGTCCCTATACCTGCTTCCTGGATGCCTCCAAGACTAAGGATCTTCCACTATTTCTTCACCCATGTCTTCTTTCCTCGGTCCTTTAACCATGATCGAGTTCTCCACATGGATCTCTGGATCATCTCCAGTACAACAGCCAGGCGAAAGCTCCACTTTGCAAGCATTATGTTTGGCCAGCTCCTCCCTGTGGGTGATGAAAATTACAAAGGCCTACTGCCTTTTGGATCCATTATAACCCGTCTGCTGATCAACCTAGGGGTTGATTTATCTTAGTTTCGCAGTGTGTCCTCTACCATGTATGTCAGTGCACTAAATGTGCTCATGATACTTGATCTGCCTACTGACATACCTCCTCCTCCTCGCCCTTCTGCTTCTCTTCTTGGACCTCCTCCTAAGCCCTCTTCTGCTAAAAAGGTCAAGTCTGCTGGTGAACCTAGTAAGACTGGAGACCTTGTGTTCACCATCTCTGAAGGAAACTCATCCTCAGACGACTCTGCAGCTTCTTCTCCTGCCTCCTAACCTTCTGCTTCTCTGCGCTCTTAGGTAGTTGAGCAACCTTTTGTAATACTCTCCTGGTTTCAGGATGATGCTTTTGTTCAGGGGGAATGAGGTTAGGAATCTAGTTGTTTAGGTGTTGCTGTTTAGGGGGAATATCTTTGATATCTCCACACTTTTGTAAACTCATATCCCCTGATTGATGCTCCTACTGTAATCCTGTTTTATTTACTACAATTATGCTTTGTTTGGATTCGTGGTCTGCTGGTATCTTTCTTTTATTTTGCAGGTATCTCCACACTTCTCGGACGAAGGGGGAAATTGTTCAATGGTATGTTGGAGACCTTTGCTTGCCAAAACGGTGTCACTTTCACCAAAACGATGCAACGTCCATCACAATGAAAGAAATGAGGAGTTTTGACCATTTTTGGAGTTTCGTCCGTCGAAGTCTTCTTCTCCTTCTCGAGCTCTCCATTTCGCATACCTCTGCTCTCCTCACAAGAAGCCAGGCAGATGTCCACCGCCTCTTTTCTTCACACAATGATGATCACTACAAGGATCAATCTATAGGAAACGGCTCTCTCAAAAGTGCAACGGTCATTTCGTGACTCTTACTATAAATAGGAATCAATCACCTTATTTTGAACTTGGCGGTTGATAGCAAGAGTGATTGGGTATTTTCTTTGTTTATCATGGGTCCATTCATGTACTTACTTCAGTAGGTCAATCACAGGGTGTGTATACTGGGTGATTGTATCTTGGGAAGTAGGGAATTTGAGAGTTTCTTTTTCTTTTCAAAGGGCCAAGCTTCTTGGCTTGGCTAGGGTTCTTTCTGTTCAAGTATATTACTTTATAATTCAATAAAATTTCGATTTTCTTCTTTTCACAATGATTCCACAAGATTCTCTACCCTTAGCCTAGGATGTAAGGACACATACCACATTTGATAACAACATAGTGTAGAATGTACTTCATGGTTAAATAGAAACCTTAATGAAATTAGAAGCAGTTTTGGGTGCTAGGTTAGATTTTTACACTTGGTAACTCAATCTAACACTTTTGAATGGTTGAACCAAGTTGTTCCACATTCCTCGATCAAGATATTCCATAAGTTCATTTTGTTGGTCGTTAATCCGCGATATCTTACTAAACTGAACCCTCCTACTTAAGGATTAAATACATTTGAAAATTATTCTACAATATGATTGAATTTATCAATAATTTCAAACTGTTTTATCATTGCTAAATTATGTTATAATGATTAATAATTTAATTTCAACTTAAATATTAATCTCACTGGTTAAGCAATTATGACTTGAGTCAGAATTAGAAACCACATTAATTTGAGACTCAAATTATCTTAGTACTTATTAAAGTAACAAAGTGGCCACTGTTGCATTAGAGGTTTGCTGAAATGACAAGTAGTTTTAATTGTTGTAGGTAACAGCCACTTCAAAATTAAACACGTTGCTGTTATAGAATATTTTCAACTTATTGAATTTTGATACATGAAGGTTACTAATCCTTACTCTTATTTGTTTGGCGGGTGAATTGTAACTTTCATTCAAAACTAGGGAGAACGTTGTTGGTATAGGCTGGACACATTACTCCAACCTGAACCTCGATTTATGTTCAGAAAAAATGAAAAATTGTAAAACCATATTGAAGGTCGTACCAGAAAATTTAACATTCGGGTATTTTTTGCTAAAATCGTAGTTCAACCTGTTGACGGCTTCGAGCGCGAGAAGCCTGGCCTCAATGAGGTGTTCCCTCTTTGTTTTTCCTCTGAACACCCTAACTCGATTTCAAGTAAGAACAAGTGAAATGCAGCATGAACTGATAAAGAAACCAAATGAAATGAAACAACTGATGATTAAAAGCTGGGTCGGATTTATTATGCAATCGGGCCCGAACCGTCAAGCCCAATACACTTGACCGGTTTAGTTCCTCAACCCAAGCACTGTGCGTTTAATCCCAAAGCTGTGCGTTTAGGCCTAGTTCTTCTTCTTCCTCGCTCACCTGGAAGGCCAACTCCCTGTTGCAAACACTTAACCAGGCAAACGTAAACAGAAAACAGAGTATGAACCAATTGACAACTGCATAACACAAGAGGACGGTGCACAGTCGATTTTTACGTGGTATCCAGAGCTGGGAAAAAGTAATCCCAACTCTGACTAATCCACGGCCGGAAAGTCACTATCCTGTGATTTCCGGCGATGCACTAAGCTCACTGGTCTTGATAGGTTTTACACGTTTACAACGATGAACTCAATCGATCCAATCCTGGAAGTCGATCAGTTCTCCAGTATCTCGAAATCTCTCAGCTATCCAGCTACCGTGTTTATCCCAAACACTGCCCAATTCAAGTTCTCTCCAGAAATTGAATCAATCTCTCTTTTCGTATCAACCTCGCTAGCTACTCTCTTTAGCTCTTCTTGCAGGATTGATCTCCCCGAAAAGTGACCCCTCATTGCTCCAAGGACTTCGTCTTATACTTCACACACACTAGCCGTTGTAGTACGCAAATGGTAAGTTCTCCACCTTTGAAATCTTTCCCGTAAATGCTCGTCTTCTGAATTTGATTTGCTTCCATTATATCTTTCTTGCTTGCTCCACAAGGCTGTCCTGCGATTTCTTTCCTTCCTTCTGTGATCCTCTGATTTATGACTGACTTTTCTCCAACATTCTCCCCCTAAGTCAGTCAATGATCCTATTAGCTGCCTATGCCCAATCTGCACACATTTAGCACACGGTTACGTGCAGACTGTTCCAGACAAACATATGATTAGAAGCACAATCCAAATACCACATTCGTGAAGAACTTTTATTGACCATAAGACATTCATTAATCGACTCACATTATTTGTTTTTCACCATAGACTCCCCCTAAGACACTTACTTCCCTTGAAAACATTGTTATTGACCATAAAGAAAACTGACCCATCTCTACCAGACTCCCCCTAAGATACGTACCCCCCAACAAGCACACAGAAGTGCTTTCCCTAAGATTATTATCCCCTTAGAAATCAAATTCTGGTGAAGGCACGTAGTCAGAGATAGCATCTTCATCCTCCATCATCATATTCCTGCTGCTGCTTGCCTCCTCCTGCCTGAACATGGCTTGAACAGCCTCTAACGGGTCAACCATAGGTCGTTTCCCATTGTCTCTGACAAAAATTTCTGGTTCCCTTACAGCTTCATCTCCATCAAGCTCAGCAAGGCTAAGGCCATCCTCAGGAAGCGCATGGGCAGCTGTGTCTCCCCCTGGAGCATTGACTATAGGTGCTCGACGACCAACAGAAGCATCAACTTTGCGCAAGATAAACTGTGCACGAAGAGAGCTAAGCATGTCCACCCGAGCTACCTTGAACCTTAAGTCAATCCCTAAGGCCAGCAGGATCTGAGTAATCTGAGGGGCGAATGGAAGCTCGGCCTCAAGGTTGTCAGCATGATAGTTCAACATATGGTCGAACATCAGATGAGGATAGCTAATAACCCTATTCTCCTTGGCACTAGCAAGAATCCATAGATCAGAAGGATAAATGGTATGAAGTCCAAAGGAACGAGGTAAGAATAACCGAGTTACATAGAAGTGCAGAACCTTCAGGTCATCAGGCAGTCTTCCAGAATGAAACTCTGAGGGATAATAGCGACCTGTATCACGAGTATACAGTCGCAGAGCATCTCTTTCGTTGAACTCGACAGAATGAAAGTCGAGTTCATTCATGACTTCTGCTCCAGCCACAGGGATCCCCAGCAACAAGGATATCAGCTCCACATTCAAGGTAATCAGATAGTTGTACACTATGGTAGTGAAACAAGGTGGTGAAATGTGGAGACATGGCTTCATGTTCGCATAAAACATGCGTACAGCCTCTGGACGAAACCCAAAGTTTCGGTTAGGAAGGATATCCCCCCAGCCTAAGGTGTTGATCAGGCGAGAGATGTCCATCCCATACCTGTTGAACTTTGATGGCTCTAGAGTAATGGAAGGATGGAGAGGACGGTCCTGGAATTGTGAAAGATAGCGAGCATAAGCTGCTGCATCTTCGAGGCCTTTGCCATTGAAAATGGCAGCTTGAGCCAGCTTTAGGGATGTCGTATGTTGATTTGGTGCAGCCATTGGAGTTTGGAAAAGGGAAGGGATTTTTGGGATGTTACCACTGGTGTTCTCCCCTTCAATCTTTATAGAAGAGGTGAGAATCACTGACAGAAGGGGTTACTTTAAAAGGTAACAGGAGACTTGACCCGAAAGCTCAGGGATGTCTTGAAAGAACGATGGTTAGAAGTTGTCCAAGTATGGATAGAGCATCAAGATGAGAAGAGGACAAGGATCTGAAAATATGGAAGGTTGGGACTAAGAGGAGAAAGTGAATATTTGATCTGATTCGAAGAAGGATTAGAGTAAGGTAAGACTTGAAGCTAAAGAATAGGAGAGAATTGGGAAGAGAATGGCAATAGCTTTCACATAATCATTTCAGATTCTCAAGTTCTGACCAGGAAAACATGCCTAACTCCCTTCGATTTGACAGAAACAAGTCCGAGCCCAAAGGCTTTGTAAAAATGTCAGCCCATTGATTTGAGGTGGGAACAAATTCTAGGGTAATCACACCTTCTTCGACCAACTCTCTAATAAAGTGATAGCGAATCTCTATGTGCTTAGTTCGAGAGTGCAAGATAGGATTTTTGGTCATGTTAATTGCACTAGTGTTATCGCACAAAACAGGGAGAGAGTTTAAGATGAGACCATAGTCTTGGAGTTGGTGCTTCATCCATAGAAGTTGAGTACAGCAGCTTCCAGCTGCAATATACTCAGCTTCTGCCGTGGACAATGCAACAGAGTTTTGCTTCTTGCTAAACCAAGAAACCAATGAAGACCCTAAGAAATGACACGTCCCATATGTACTTTTCCTATCAATAGTACATCCAGCATAGTCAGAGTCAGAGTAGCTTATTAATTCTAGGGAAGAGTTGCTAGGATACCACAGACCTAAGTCTGAGGTGCCACTGAGATATCGAAAGATCCTTTTTACTGCAGTTAGATGACTCTCTTTGGGAGAGCTCTGAAATCGTGCACAAACACAGACACTGAACATAATGTCAGGTCGACTTGCTGTTAAATACAGCAAGGAGCCTATCATTCCCCTATAAAGTCTATCACTGACAGGAGTACCGGACTCATCTTTATCTATCTTGATAGAAGAAGCCATAGGAGTGAGAGCAGATTTAAGATTCCCTAAGTCAAATCGTTTAAGCATGTTGATTAGGTATTTTGACTGACTGATAAAGATTCCATGAGGAGTCTGTTTAATTTGTAGTCCCAGAAAATAATTAAGTTCCCCTATTAAGCTCATTTCAAACGCATTCTTCATTTTTGACTCAAAATCTCTGCACATACTTTCACAGGTGGCTCCAAAGATTATATCATCCACATATACTTGAACTAGAAGTATATGATTATTTAGTTGTTTAATGAACAGAGTTTTGTCCACAATACCCCTTCTAAAACCATTTTCTAGTAGGAAGGAACTGAGTTTGTCATACCATGCCCTTGGGGCTTGTTTTAATCCATACATGGCCTTTTTCAATTTATACACATGATTAGGAAACCTATGATCTTCAAACCCTGGTGGTTGAGACACAAATACTTCTTCTTTTAAATCCCCATTCAGAAAAGCACTCTTGACATCCATTTGGTATAACTTAAATTGTTTTGAACTAGCAAAAGCACACAGCAATCGAATAGCTTCTAAGCGAGCTACAGGGGCAAAGGTCTCTTCATAGTCTATTCCTTCTTCCTGGCAGTATCCCTGAGCCACTAGTCTGGATTTATTTCTAACCACAGTTCCTACCTCATCAGATTTGTTTTTATAAATCCACTTAGTACCAATTATGACTCGGTTCTCAGGCTTAGGGACCAGTTCCCATACATTTGCACGTTCAAATTGATGCATTTCCTCAAACATAGAAGCAGTCCAAAATTCATCTTGTAACGCTTCATGCACATTCCTAGGTTCTACTAAGGACACATATGCGACAGTAGAAGGTAAGGTTTTTGATCGAGTAATCATACCTTGATTTATGCCTCCTATGATTTGCTCAGGAGGGTGTCGCCTCACAATATATGCTGGTGGATGTGCATCTGAATCAACTGCCTTGATCCTTTCCTCTGATTGCGTCTGAGTATCCCTCTGACTTGCAACGATGTCCTCTGGTATTTGATCTGAAGTGTTTCCTGCTTCTTTGATTGTGGACTGCTGCCTTCCAAGCCCAAAATCGTCATCATCATAGCTATCTGTTCTCACAATGACAGATTCATCAAATATAACATGGACGGACTCCTCAACCTTGAGGGTCCGTTTATTAAACACACGATAGGCCTTGCTGGTGGTAGAGTATCCTAGAAAGACAGACTCATCAGATTTAGAGTCAAACTTTCCTAGGTTATCTTTTGTGTTCAGCACAAAACACTTACAACCAAAGGCACGAAAGTAACCCAAATTAGGTTTTCTCCCCTTCCAGATTTCATAGGGCGTTTTGTTTACACCAGTTCTGATTAAGGCTCGATTAACAGTGTAGCAGGCTGTGTTGATAGCCTCTGCCCAGAAGTACTTAGGAATACCATAGTCATTTAACATGGTTCTTGCAATGTCTATAAGAGTTCTATTTTTCCTTTCTACAACCCCATTTTGTTGTGGGGCACGGGGTGCAGAGAAGTTATGTGATATGCCTAGATCATTGCAAAATTGTTCGAACAAATCAGAACTAAACTCTCCACCATGGTCACTACGAATACTGCAGACCTTAGTCAATTTTTCATTTTCGACTCGTTTGACCAGTGTTTTAAATTGTTCAAAAGCTTCATCTTTCCTACTCAAGAACAACACCCAAGTAAACCTAGAGTAGTCATCAACTACTACAAAGGCATACGATTTTCCACCATAGCTGACCACATTTGTAGGACCAAATAGATCTAAGTGAAGTAACTCCAGAGGTCTAGAGGTTGAAATGACTGTTTTTGATTTAAAACTACACCTGGTTTGTTTACCCTTGGCACAGGCATCACAGAAAAAATCTCGTTTTTCATTTATTTTTGGAAGACCTTTGACCAAATTGAGACGAACTAGCTTAGACAGCACACTAACATTAACATGTCCTAGTCTTCTATGCCATTCTTCCTGTTCACTTTTATCTAGACTAATCAAACAGGTTTCATTGAAACTATTCTTGTCACTTAGATCAATTGTGTAGATTTTCCCATTTCTTTTACCCGTAAAAACTACTTGTTTACTCAGAATGTTTTCCACATAGCAACAATTAGGTTCAAATACTACCCTGCAGAATTTTCCACACATTTGACTTATAGACATCAGGTTATGCTTCAAACCTTCAACTAACATGACATTTTTAATGCATGGATCAGTACCTACTTGACCTTTTCCAATGATTTGAGCAGAGTTGTTGTCTCCAAAATAGACTTTACCAAAGTCTTTTAAACTAAGTCTGGAGAATAGGTTTTTGTTACCTGTCATGTGATGGGAGCACCCGCTGTCCATGATCCATCTTGTATCCTCTGTGCTCACTTCCAGACAACTCTGCAAACACAACCTTCATTTGGTTTTCCGAACCCAGATTTTCTTGGGTTCGTGTGATATATTTGATCCAAACACATAGTTGTTCCATGGTAACTTAGTTTTTCTTGACCAACTAGACCCTTCTTTCCTAGCTTCTGACCACAATCGTCTTTTGCACATTTTAATGATATGCCCCTTTTTGTGACAGTAATAACATTCTATGTTATCAACGTGTCTGGTTGTGTAGGTCCTAGGTCTTGATGTAGTGGTCTTGTTTATCTTTGTGTTGTTCTGACTAGATGAACTCTTAGCTTCCAAAACACTAATTTTCTTCCTAAGTTCATTACCTTCGGTTTTACTATTTTCAAGTTCTTTTTCTAGTTCAGCTATTCTGACCAAATACTCATGATTTTCTTGCTTCATTTTGTTATATCTTATCTTAACATTTCCAAATTCTACTTCAATATCTCTGATAGTGTCCATTAGCAATTTGTTATCACTCAAATCATCTAAATCATGCATGGATTCAGTATCACTTACCTGTCTTGAATCACTGTTGAGCTCAAGTGAATCATCTTCAATTTCAGCAATTGCCATGAATGATCTTTGGACAACTACTTCGTCGTCATCATCCATTTCATCTTCACTGCAACTCCATGTAGCCGCCAGTGCTCTTTCTTTCTTAAGCTGTGGGCACTCAGCCTTGATATGCCCTGCTCGACCACATTTAAAGCACCCTGTCGAGCTTAAACTTCTGATATTCTGACTGGCATCAGTTCTACCCTTGGAAAATGACCTGGCTTGATTTCCTTTTACTTCACTTCTCTCAAAATCTTTGACTTTGTTTCCTGAGCTTCCAAGCTTCTTCTCCCTTCGGATTCTGAGCAGCCTGCTGACTTGTTTGCTTAACAATGCTAGTTCCTCGTCTTCCATATCCTCTAGATCTTCTGAATCATCTAATGACGTGATTGCTTTGAACGCAACTCCCCTTTTTCCTTTGTCAACAATTTCCTTCTCTTGACTAACCTTGTTCAGTTTATCTTCATGAGCAACTAAAGACCCAATCAACTCATCTACAGATATCTTCTCCAAGTCTTTGGCTTCTTCTATGGCTGTAATTTTCGGTGTCCATTTATCTGGCAAACTCCACATGATCTTCCTCACGAGATCCCCACTTTCATATGACTTCCCTAGATTTTCAAGACTGTTCACTATGTTGGTGAACCTCTCATACATCATTCTGATGGATTCTCCTTCTTCCATTTTGAATAACTCGAACTGATGCTTTAAGGAGTTTATTCGTGAGGTTTTTACCTGTGAAGTTCCTTCATATGTCACTTGCAGCTTGTCCCAGATTTCTTTTGCGGTTTTGCACCCTGCCACCTTGTGATATTCTTCCGGTCCGAGAGCACAGTACATCAGATTGGTGGCTTTGCAATTCTGCTGAAACTTTTCGAAATCTTCATCACTCCATTTTTCCTGATCCTCTTTGAGCTCGTGAGGTCCTTTAATGACCCTTGCCCAAAGTTTTGGGTCAGTCGAGCCCACGAACAGCTCCATACGATTCTTCCAGTACCCATAATTTACGCCTTCGAATCGCGGCGATCGATTCTGCGAGAATCCGTCGGCCAGATAAAGAGGCGCATTGCTCGTCGATCCTGAAGCCATCTCGAGAGTCTCCGGAGGAAGTTAAGCCTCTAGTAACGGAGCCGGGCTCTGATACCACCTGTTGACGGCTTCGAGCGCGAGAAGCCTGGCCTCAATGAGGTGTTCCCTCTTTGTTTTTCCTCTGAAAACCCTAACTCGATTTCAAGTAAGAACAAGTGAAATGCAGCATGAACTGATAAAGAAACCAAATGAAATGAAACAACTGATGATTAAAAGCTGGGTCGAATTTATTATGCAATCGGGCCCGAACCGTCAAGCCCAATACACTTGACCGGTTTAGTTCCTCAACCCAAGCACTGTGCGTTTAATCCCAAAGCTGTGCGTTTAGGCCTAGTTCTTCTTCTTCCTCGCTCACCTGGAAGGCCAACTCCCTGTTGCAAACACTTAACCAGGCAAACGTAAACAGAAAACAGAGTATGAACCAATTGACAACTGCAGAACACAAGAGGACGGTGCACAGTCGATTTTTACGTGGTATCCAGAGCTGGGAAAAAGTAATCCCAACTCTGACTAATCCACGGCCGGAAAGTCACTATCCTGTGATTTCCGGCGATGCACTAAGCTCACTGGTCTTGATAGGTTTTACACGTTTACAACGATGAACTCAATCGATCCAATCCTGGAAGTCGATCAGTTCTCCAGTATCTCGAAATCTCTCAGCTATCCAGCTACCGTGTTTATCCCAAACACTGCCCAATTCAAGTTCTCTCCAGAAATTGAATCAATCTCTCTTTTCGTATCAACCTCGCTAGCTACTCTCTTTAGCTCTTCTTGCAGGATTGATCTCCCCGAAAAGTGACCCCTCATTGCTCCAAGGACTTCGTCTTATACTTCACACACACTAGCCGTTGTAGTACGCAAATGGTAAGTTCTCCACCTTTGAAATCTTTCCCGTAAATGCTCGTCTTCTGAATTTGATTTGCTTCCATTATATCTTTCTTGCTTGCTCCACAAGGCTGTCCTGCGATTTCTTTCCTTCCTTCTGTTATCCTCTGATTTATGACTGACTTTTCTCCAACCCAACCGTGCTTAAATCATTTCGTAGATAAAATCACCTACCGATTAAGATTGTGTTAGGAGTTTTTCGACCACCAGTATGGTACAGTAGTAGTTCAAATGTGGCTAAATTAGGTTTGACACGTTGCTCTAACTCGAGCCTCGATTTATGGTCAGATATACGAAAAGTTGTAAAGCCATACCATATGTCACAACAGAAAATTTAGCATTAGAGTATTTTTATGCTAAAATTGTAGTTCAACCGTGGTTAAATCAGGCTTGACACGTGCTCCAACCCGGGCCTCAATTTATGTTCAGAAACAAAAAAAAAATTTGTAAAACTATACCGAAGGTCATGCCAAAAAAGTTATCATGAGGGTATTTTGTGCTTGAATCAGACTTCACATGTTGCTCAACCTCGAGCATCGATGTGTGTTCACAAAAAAACAAAAATTATAAAATTATACCGAAAGTCGTATTGGAAAAGTTAACATTAGGATATTTTGTGCTAAAATCATAGTGCAATCCTGATTAAATAATTTCATAGAGCTAAACTCACTTACCGATTTAGATTCCGTTAGGAGGTTTCTTTTGAACCTCTGAAACACGACCGTCACAAATCACATACGGGTTAGCAAACAATACATCTAATCTTATAAAAAGCCGCAACGAAGCTCGGCACAGAATCTACCTAGTTCTTTCTTATTGTTATACTATGTGTTACAGAGAAGATGCTCTAGGCTTCCGCCGGAATAGAATTTCGAAATGAAAAATATAATTAGCAATAGACCACAACCCAATCTTAAAAATACCCAATTAGTCCTCAAAACAAAACTTGGAAGCCCCACTCAAATGCCTAATCAAGTAACTCTGAAATCCCGCAGCAGAGGTCATATATAATGTAGAAAAAGACTTAGATAGCCTTCCGTGAGATGAGGTAAATCTCGTTATATTAGTGGGTAGATAATAAAAGGGTTATAGGTATAATATGCCTCTCTATTATGACGTTTTATCGAACATGCCCCTCTACTATTTTTTACATCAAAGATGCCCCTGTATTTTGGAAAAATTATCAAACATGCCCTTCTGTTAAAATTTACATTGAAAAATTTATCAATCATGGTTAAACTGTGATTTAGACGACTCGACATCGACAAATGGGAGGGAAAATGTCAGTTTTGTCCCCTGTTTTATTTCTCTGGGTCTCGTCAAAGTGAAATTATTAAAATTATTTAGCTATACAAAAGGACCAAAAAATTCTAAAGTGAAATTATTAGGGATATTTTAGACATTTGTGTCGCCCAAATCAAATTTTGACCATGATTAACGGTTTTTGGATGAAAATTTTAACAAAAGAGCATGTTTGATAATTTTTACAAAGTACAGGGGCATGTTTGATGTAAAATATATTATAGGGGCATGTTTGATAAAACGTCATAGTAAAGGGGCATATTATACCTATAACCCATAATAAAAATAGATAGTTTGTATTTAGGGGGTCGGCTATACATAAAACACTGAGATATGTGCTTCAGACAACACATTTGATTGTCAATAATATTTCATTGTATACAGGAAAAATAATACACTAATTCATGCACCATATCCATTATAAAATCATGATCTTATCCCCATTCTACTGAAATAATTGATTCCACTAGTAAAGGCATAAGATTCCATTGCATATGATTGCAACTAAATCATACTTAGCAGTTATATTGAGATTTTAAGGATCATGCTTACAATTATACGACTTCTATTTGCAATGGTGTACAGCGTAGCAAAGTTTAATGATCTTTTAGTACATTCTGTCATCTTTATAAGAAAATTCAGTACCATTAACGATTGCTGCATGATCCTATCTAATCCGGATAAGATGAGAGCAGCCTACTTTAAAGATTCTTAATTTAAAGGATCCACAATCCATTTGAAAATGGAATAAAGGATTCATAATTTGAGATGATCAAAAGAAGTGGTATTCAACCCAATTCAATTGATGGGTTGGATTGAGTAGGAATATTTTAGATTTATGGGTCTGAGTCAAATTGGTATCCAAACCATAAAACATGCCTCAAAATTTAACCCGACCCGAGTAACCCATTCGGTCAACTCGGCCGCAATCTGAATTGACTATAAGTCAATAATCTGTAATCCGCCCGATCTGTAACCCGATTGACTCGTAACTCGACTGATCCGCAATCCGATTAACCATAATCTGACTAATCCGTGACCCGCCCAATTTACCTGAATAATTACTATATTATACAATAAGTTTTTTTGTTCTAAACCTAAGTAAATCCAACAAATAAACTAATTACCATTGATATTCACATGCCTCCTAATAGCTTCCCCACACATGAAGAAAACAAAGCATCCATATTACTAAATTTGTGTCCAAAACATGAAACCAGAACCATCCTAGTCCACCTACTCTCACCTTAAAAATACACCATGTTGTACGAAAAACAAATTTTCTCTGCCTGCTTTCGTAAAAAAAAAAATCTATGTCTGCTTCATATAGGTATAATATGCCTCTCTACTATGACGTTTTATCAAACATGCCCCTCTACTATGTTTTACATCAAACATGCCTCTGTACTTTGTAAAAATGATCAAACATGCCCTTTTGTTAAAATTTTCATCAAAAAACCGTTAACCAAGGCCGAACTTTAGTTTGGGAGACAGAAATGACTAAAATATCCCTAATAAATTCACTTTAGAATTTTTTTGGTTCTTTTGTATAATCAAATCATTCAAATAATTTCACTTTGAAAAGACCTAGGGAAATAAAACAGGGGACAAAACTGACATTTTCCCTCCCATTTGCCGATGTCGGGTCGTCTAAATCTCAATTCAACCATTATTGACGATTTTTTCAATGGAAATTTTAACATAAGGGGATGTTTGATAATTGTTTCAAAGTATAGGGGCATATTTGATGTAAAAAATAATAGAGGGGCATGTTTGAGAAAACGTCATAGTAAAGCGGCATATTATACCTATAACCCTAAAAAGAAACAAGCAAAAGCTTTTTGATTGTTATGGCAAAAAAGAAAAAAAAAAGAAGCTTTTGTTTGCTTTGTCTGGAGGCTGGCGGCAGTCCCGCAACCACCCTGTCATCTAATTATTTTATAATTAATGCAAACTTGTTGGTTTTACATTAATTGCATATAATTATTGCTTAAACCCCTCATCCTGACAATAATTGAATATTAGCCAAATGCATTGCATGACAGCAAAGTACATGAGATGTGAAAGGATGTTTTTTGATAAGGGTGACGATTATATTAACGGAGAAAAGAACAAAAAAAGTTCAAATGTTCACAAGATATGAACCCGAACGAGACATCACAAGGAACAGGGGCAAAAAAGAAATGAAATGAGAACAAGATACCAGCTTGATGGAACAGGCCACCCCTGCTGGTCACAGGAGAAGAAATCCCTTCCAGATGTGAAAGGATGTTTATTTTGGTACTTTGAGACAACCCAATTCTTAGGCCTACTATATATATAATGGACATAAAAGGGACAGTGAAGCTAAAAACAAAACAATTACAAACAACCAAAATCCCTTCAGCCCTTAAGACCTTTTCAAATAAATATGGCTTCCTGCCATGTCCGGTCAGTAAGTTTGCCTTCTCAAGCTTCTCATCCTCTAGCTTTCTCAATCATCCAACAGCAATTGAATAAGCTCAAGGCAAATCCTGGACCAGGTGGATTTATTGGACACAATATAATCACCCTTGAGTCTTTGTCACATTGCATAGACGACTTGCTTCTGACCCAACTTTCTGAACACCACATCTCCCCTGAACCTACCACTAGATTTGCTGTCGAAAACTTGTTAGATGCGTCGATCAAGTTGTTGGACATGTGCAGCTTAGTACGGGATGTTTTGTCACGAATGAAGCAGTCGATGCAAGATCTTGAATCATCTCTCAGGAGGAGGCGATCGGACTCATGCCTGTCCAGCCAAGTTGATTCATTCTTGGTCTGCAGGAAAGGGTTGAGTCATTTGGCCTCCAAGAATATGAAGATTATGGAGAAGAGGCGAGGGACCATGTCGTCGGAGAAGGGCTCCAATATGGCTGGAGATCTTGTTAGCTTATTGTGGGAAGTTGAGGAAATATGTGTTGCAGAGTTCAAGACCCTTTTGTGCTTTGTTTCTGCACCAAGAAAACAACATTCCTCCATGGTCTCAAAGCTGATGCATTCAAAGAAGGGGGTGGAGAGAGGGGAAATTAGTGAAACAGTAGTAGAGAAGATTGATGCTGAAATGTATGCCATCAAGTCAAGCAAATTAGCCAATGCAGAACAAATTCATGGCTTGTTCAGAGGACTTAAGGGGTTTGGATCAAGATTAGAGGAAGCAGAGGTGGGATTGGAAGGTCTTTTCAGAAGGTTGTTGAGAATAAGAGTTTTGCTTCTCAACATTCTCAGCAATTAGCTGAATCGTTATGGTTCTAATATCAATTCTCTAATCTCTAATGTTGTTTCCATCATCATGGTATAATGTACAAAATCGTATGTAGATATCTAGTTGTGGAAAAAGCAATGCTAAGTTTAGTTGTTAATATGACCCTCTATGTGCTTGTTTTAATAGACATGATACTTATATTCAGTTACGCGCACTACAAAAAAAAAATTAGCGACGGTTTAAACCGTCTGTAATTGTTTTGTGACGGTCACTAAACCACCTGATGGAACCGCCGACACTGCAGCCGTCTTCAAATGTACAGGCGGTTCTTAAAAACCGGCGGTGGAGGGTCTAGATGCGATTTTTAGATGCGACCAAAACCGCCGCTAATTGTGTTTTTTTTACGTTGCAACCGCCGCGCCGGAGGAGAATACCAAAGCTTCGGATAACCGAGTAACCGACCATTATTAACCGCGGTTATCCGAAAAAACCGAACCAAACCGACAAACCCTCATATATTGCCCTCCCTATAAAAAAATGACATATAAAACCCATAACCCCAAGGCCCAAACTGAAACCCTATATTCCTCTCATCAAACCCTCACCCTCACGAGTCAAGGCCGCCGCCCAGCTCCCTTCCTTTTCGCCTCAAGGCCGTAGCCTTCCTCCGTTCCTCGCCGCCATGCAGATGCCTTCCTCGCCGCGCCGCGTCGCCTCGCGCAGCCGCCTCGCCCGGATCTCGTCCTCATCGCAGCCGCCTAGCCCAGATCTCGTCCTCATCGCGTCGCCTCGCGCAGCCGCCTCCATCCTTCCTCTTTCCCGTCCATCCTTTGTCGCCGTCGCCGTCCCCGAGCAGATGAACCGCGTCCATCGGCCGTCCCCGAGCAGAAGGAAAAGAAAAGTGAGAGAGGAGAGAAGAAGGGTCTTGGAGATGGAGGGTCCCCGAGCATAAGGAAAAGGAAAGTGAGAGAGGAGAGAAGAAGGGTCTTGGAGATGGAGGGTTAGGCTTAGGTGGTTAGCAGAGGCAAAGGAGAGAGAGGGGAGAAGAAAAGACTTTCGGTGGTTCTTTTCAAATGAGGTGAGGAGAGAAGGAGAAGAAGATAAGGTGGGTCTGAAAATGTGTGGTGGACCGACTTTTCTTCTTTTTTTTTTTTTGTAATCAATTCGGCTAACCGCGGTTATAACCGATAACCGACCGGTCGGTTAAGCGGTGACCGTGTGAAACGCGTCGGTCGGTAGTGCTAGAGAGTCGCTCAGTTTAACCGAAAATCGACTTTTCGGTTTTCGGTTAAACCGAAACCAACCGACTGACAGCCCTAACTGGAACAACCTCTCTCTGCACTTCCTTTTTCTTACCCAATTGCCCACCGGTGACGATTCGTAACGCCATAAACGAAATTACAGATCTTGCTCCGCCTGCGGGAAGGTTCTGGCCGATCGGACCACCTCCGCCGGCGCCAATCAGAAAATGGCGGTTGTCAAGTCGGGAGTAGTGGGATCGAAGAGGGTCTGCAATGATGATGCCGCCTCAGTGACACTGACACCGACGGTTCCGAATCCGATGGGGACAGCGGGCAATCGTCATCCTGATGACGATTGGGGATTAGTTTCCCGATCGTCCCAATTTTGAGAGTGAGAGCTAATAAGGTGCAGAGAGAGGCGAATCAATGGTTGCGGCAATTTTGATGAATTGAGGACGAAGAATTTCGTTTCTGTTTTGGTTTTCTTCCTCGTTGAATTTTCCTTTTAAAAGATCATATAACCAATCACACTAAGTATATTTATTAGCTTGCTTTATGTTTCTTTGACTAGGTAATCATATGAATGGTAACTTGCTAGCTAGTTTGATTAAATTTTTTCTCATTCTTCTTTTTTTGTTGGCTTGATTTGGTTTCTTTTCTTCCTTAAAACTTAATTATGTCCACTGACTATAAGTTGATGTCAGCTCCATGATTTTGGGGTTTTAGCTGCACTTCTGTTTTGCCACATATCTACTCATTTGATAGTTGCCTGATTTTATATGTGTTCTAATGAGGTTTTTTAAGGTTCGGATTGTTAGGAACATATGCATAAAGAAGAGGACGAGAATCAATGTTGAGGATGGAGAAAGAAATTTGTGGATCATCTTTAGTTACTATTTGTTTACCATTGAATAGTTGCTACAACTTTATGAAAATTTTCATTTTCGGAGTTTGGTTCACTTTCAAATTATATGACGATATTTTGGTAATTTAATATATGTTAGTATTTTTTAATGCATCCAGATGAATATGTAGGTGCCAAAATCACCAGAAAATTGATGCAAAATTGTACAGCGAAAACCGTCATTAAAACCAAGAAAATGCTAGCTGCTGTAAAAAAAATTTCATCTTTTAGCGACAGCGAAAATCGTCGCTATTGTACAGTCCATTTCCGACCGAAGTTATTTTAATCTCGGTTTTCGGTTAGCCGAAAACCGGTCGGTTCGGTTGTAACCGTCGGTTATCCGCTAACCGGAAACCGAACTGCCAGCCCTAGTTCCAGTTGCTTACATGAAATCGCCTTGGCGCATTGTTGAGCAGAGTCTGAGACAGTAGCTGCACCAGAGCATATTCCGTCGGAGATTGATCGATGGATTGATGGGTGCGGCTTTAGCGGCGGATCGATTTCTAAAAAGGGAAGAACTATAAAACAAAGAGAGAAGGTCCGCACACTCAAACTTGACGGCGAACTCTTGGACTTTCCTCTGCCACGCCAGATCCAGCAGCCGTTGGAGAATAGGGGAGCGGCTGCCGACGCTGGCGTCGAGTCTAATCGAGACCTTGAGGGTTTCGATCCGGAAGAATTCCTTGTGTTGGAAGAACTTATTGATCGCGGTAGCGCAGAAATTCTCGAGGTACTTGTTTGCCCGGATGGAGCTGTTCTTCGTCTGCCAGTCGGCGTCCACCTCCACGACTGGGTACGAGCGCCAGAGGTTTCGCCAGCGGCTGGAGATTGCGGTGGTCTGTGCGGATTGCCGGTGGGATTCTAAGCGGCGGAGGATGCAGTGGAGGACTTCGTCCGGCGAAGCTGAGATTCGGTCCTCACCGGCAATGGCGACGGGGGAGGTTGTTCGCTTTCGCCTCTTCTTCATCGTCGTTGATTGCTGGTGGAGATCAGCGCGGCGATTGAGTTACTCTGAGTTACGGCGGTTCACTTTAGGAGGCTTCAGTTTTGGGGTCCGACGGTTACAATTCCAAAGCAACGGTTACAAATCCAGAGGCGATTCCAAGTGCGATCCGTTTCAGATATGCTTGTTCTTTCTCTTTCTTCCCTAATTTTAATATTTATTTATTTCCAGAAATATAATTCTAAAATCTTTTAATTGTATTTTCCTTAACTGCTCGTATATATAAACTCTTCATTAACTTTACTGTAAAAAAAAAAGTAATAAAGAATGTTTTTCTTTTGACCTTGTTAGCTTTTGATTTGGAGTATCCTACTAAGTCTCAATGGCTTGTTTAAGTCCATTCCGTGGAGCTTAGTTGTCCTCCAGCATGGGCGCTTGTGTGTTTGTTTGTTTTTGCAGGGGTACGTAGTTTTTTCTTGACCATACAAGCATCCATCCGTTATGATTCATTCTCGTGATGTGGCACATGTGACAGGTGGAGTGATCTTGGAAGAGATTTGTTTGGCGTCTGTGTCTTTTAATTTCTTTTTTTGTACTTTTACGCAGAGGTTGTACAACAGGGCTGCCCACTCAGTGGCTTCTAATGCCCTTTCATCGACAGCTCGATATTGTGTCGACTGTCGCGTCTGGTTTTCTAGCGTCCTGTAATATCTATTCATTCCCGATCTATGGCAAAAAAAAAACATAAAGCAATCACTATTGATATCTTTGCATTATATAGTGTCAAGCATCAAAGTGGGAGCAAGCAAATCCCAAGCGAACCTAGAAATAGCAATATATAACGAATGAGTTTTCTAAAACGTTTCCTTCCCTTTCCTTTTCTTAATTGGCCCAAAATACTACTGTATCTATATAATCCCAGAAATCACCCCCCAACACAAACCCATAAATCATCAATCTCGTACATGTTTGTCTGTTTGTTTCTATCTATTAACTTCCTCAATTACTTTTCCTTCCACAAAAACAGAGTATAAATGTTTGCAAGAGAGGAGGGATGAAAGGATGACACATGGGGAGGTCACGTGGCAGCGAGAGTTCAAGCACAAAAAGTAGTAACTAGCTAGCTATACGCTATACAGTGTTATCCATCTTCTTCAAGAAATAGAGAAATGTTTACCTGTGAGTTTTCATCATCACTTTCGCTTTCAAAATTTTGTCCCGGAAAATTATGAACAATGAATTTCTCCATTTTCTTTTACATCCCCTTCATTTGTCGCATTAACATTGTTACTTTTGCCGATTCAGATGTTGAGCTATGAGAAGTCGATGCAACCCCAGCTTGTGTGTATACGCTAAAATATCTTGTTGGAGTTGGCCCCATTCCAAAAACTCGAACCTGTCCGGCATGCTCTGGACCAGATAATTCTTGAAAAATTTTCTCATTCATATTGTTATCACTTCCATAGTTGCATTATCACTATTGCTTCTTGCAGCCTGAAGTGCCCAGGCTCTCTCCTATATATAAATACATGAAAACCATCAAAGGGCAACATAAGGATAGGTGCAAGAAATAAAAAAATCTTAGGGGGTGGTTTCAATTTTTTACCATGAATCTTTTGGTGTAATCATTCACATAGTGGCCATCATTTCTTGTATGTGTAAGTTTGAATAGTTCAAGTCTATCAGGAGCTTTTCCGGTGGCCATTTCCTACAGGCATATAATTAATACCAACATCTCTTATAGGCATATCATCTTAAAACCACCAAACAACTACATATAATTAATTCCAACATCTCTTATAGGCATATCAATGCTTACAACTTCTTTTGATGTCCTCGAATGGCTCTTTCTTCCAAAGGTATGAGGCGTTTTCATCATCTTAGCATTTGCTGTATTTATCTCGCTTATTCGCTGCACAAGAGAAAAACAAAACAAAACAAGTAAAATAGCAAGATGATAGATTCAGATCTTTTATAAAAGGGAAAGGAAATCCAACTGGTCGGCACCTTGCTTCCCTCGCTATACCAACTAGCTGCCAAAGTATACCATTGGGTGGCATCCTCCACATCCTCTGTAACTCCTCTTCAAATATAGATTCCATCAGTAATTCGGAGTCGAAGTGGTGGGCTTACAGTTCCTTCTTGTACTCCCTCCACTTCTTGTCCACTGACTGCAAAATCCATTTTTCTACACACGCGGGATAACGAAACTTCGACTATAAAATAAAAACACATATGTTAGCTTTGGAGGAAAACCAGTATAGAAACACAAAATCATTATTGAGCTAAAAGGCCAATCATATACACCAGTATACCTTAGTAAGAGCCAATATTTGTGCATAGTAGGGTTTGAACTCCACCCTTCTCCAATTGGGAATCGACAAGGGAGTGAAAAGATTGTTTCTTGCAATGGTCCCCCAGAAAAGATCCGAATAGAGCTGTTTCAGGTCCGCAAGGAACTCCATATTTATTTACTTCAACATTGATACGCTCACTTTCACTAAGATTCCACACGTCTGGCACCCTTGTCTTACCTCACTTATTATACCTTCGACCAATGTTTTCATCTACAAAATCAAATTGTCATAGTTTTAACGAAACTAGCCATGTGTATGTATATACACTATGATGAATATCATGTAGAATTCATCATTACTAGCCCACCTGTATGCCACTTGTCCTATCTAAGTAGCATGCATGGAACCCAACCCCACTAGTATGCCACATGTCATATCTATTTAAACCCTCTCAAACACGTATCCCACAATTCAATCTCCAAGCCATTCAAACATATGTACTTCCATCAATATTTGAAGAAAGAAGACCAGATTACCTATATAGTTAATGAATTCATCTTCTTCACCTCTAGTTTCCCTTTCCTCATTCTCATTTGAATCCATGTTTTATTGTTGAACTTCGCGATATCGACTACCACTTGAAATATCAGATTCTTTCACAATTCTCAATTTCTTCAAATTCCTTGATCTTATAGTCATCCTGCAAAAGAAAAAAGTACAAATAGCCAGAAGGTATAAGCATATTACAACAGTAGAAACATCCAGGAAACAAATAACGTTAAAACACCCAAATTACTCTCGGGAACAATGCTCACCTTCATTTGGGAATATGAAAATGGAATCCAGAACAACGAATAAACTTTCAGAATCAAACATCCATTCACTAGTTTGTCAATGTTGTTCGCATTAAGGCGGGTGTGACCTCGACGCTTTCTCTTCTCCCCATCAATGAACACTCTGAATTATGAAATGATGTTAGGCACAATTTCAAGACTTAAGTACTTTGGAAAACCACTTATAAAACTATACTTAATGTCTAAAGTTATTTATCTCATCACAATGCCTTAACACATAACAATGTGCTTGCTCTTTTGTTTTCTCATTTAACTCAATATTTTTGGCTTTTCCTATATGCTGCCCTCTACAGTTGAACTTGAATTCAATGGCTTCATCATTCACAGATGCCTCTTGATTTCTCAGTGGGCGATTGAACTGAGTTTCCACTCCTTCCATATATCGGGAAATAAATGACATACATTCATCCGCAATGTGACCTTCTGAAATCGACCCTTCAGGAGAAGCTCGATTACGGACAAAAGATTTCAATTGACCAAAATACCTACCAAACACAAAGGAGATATAATGATTTCAAGAGATTTAAGAGAATGACCAGTTCATAGTTTGGAGAATAACCTTTCTACAGGGTACATCCATCTAGAGTAAACCGGTCCACCAAGTTTTGCCTCTTCTGCTAAATGAATTAACAGATGTACAATAATAGTGAAGAATGATGGCACAAATGACTTTTTCATGTGGCAAAGAGTCAAAACAACTCGAGTTTGCAATTTTTCGAGTTCATCAACATTCAACACCTTAGCCTTTGATTGATGTGCGTGATGGGACATTTATCTTGTTAATGGGTGAGGATAATATAACTTTTTTCTATTGCAAACAATATAAAGATGGTATCAGTGCATGATTTTGGTGTGAAATGCAATGTGATGTCTGATTCTGCCCTCTTTTCTGTGCATGCCCTAGCTCACCAGATGCACGAGTCTTTCGTGTATCATTCTGTGGCAGATGTTTTGCATGATTCTGAGCCCCCTCCTCCTTCCCCACTCAAGACACCTAAATTCTCCAGTGAGAATCTAAGGAGGATTGACGGTCTTACTATGCCTGCCCTCTCCCTCGCCTAGCATCAGTCATCAGCCAATTCGATAAACTCGTTCTGCCCTCCTTATCATTCCTCCATTGAGGACAGTGTTGTGCTTCAGTGTGTGGAGTGTTTCTTTGTATTTGGGTGTGATGAAGGATGCTTTGCTTGTCTTGGAGCCTAGTCCACTGTCCAAATTTTTAAATTTGGGGGTCCAAGTACATTTTTTCTTGCAAATTGTCTGCTAATTGTGCTTTGAATTGCTAGTATGCCATGATAGTATGCAATCTAGGGAGGCTAGTGTTACTCTATGGAGGATGTCGGTACATGAGATGTTTCTCGTCTACTTAATATTGTGTTAGTTGATGTGTTGAATTGTCGTGTTATGACTTGTGATTTTTGCAGTGTTGATGACTCTCACTCGTTTTGTGAACTTAAAATGTTTGGAGAAAAAGGCACTGATAACTCGATATTTGCCCATATTTTTGCCCACAATTCTTACACTATTTGGGGCTCGATTCTCGTGTTTTAAGCCGATTTAGCGCGAGGTTGTTCTTGTATGGCATATTTTAGGTCTTGGATCGACTATGCATCCTTGGAGGCAAGTTTGGGTCAAAAGCACCAAGTGGACTAAAGGAGGAGCTCGAGGACTGAATTCCCAGGTCCGATCATCTAATCCCCAACCGGGGAATTGCAACGGAGACCGGGGAAGTCGGCCAGGAATTTTCCTCGGCCGTGACCCCATAATCCCCGATCGGGGAATCTTACCTGAAACTGGTGAATTATGCTTTGACAACTAATCGTTGGCACCATTTTGGGCAAAACCGGGCCTTGCATCCAAATACCCGACCGAG